CCAAATTACACTAATTAGATTAACCTCCAGCACTTTATTTTTCATATTTTATGCACAAATGTCAGAATTTAATAAGCCAAAGAATAAATGCGGAGGCACTGACAGAACTAGTTTCTGTGAGAACCATGAGGTTTGTGCTTGCCACATACTAGCATGCTGATGACTTTGTTCTCATGTGACATGTGCGCCGATTAATGTTCGGCCCTGAAGGACAGAGTGGGAGAAAGCTTTCCCACTTGCCGCACTGCCTTCCAAAATGGTTATGAGTTAAACTGAAGTGCTGGGGCTGAGGATGGAGCACAGGGGCACAGGGCCTTCCTGGCAAGTGTGAGGTCCTGAGTTTGATTCCTGGAACAACAACAACAAATAAAAACAAAAACAAAATTCTTAGTTCTTTGACCTCTGTCTCCCTTCAAAACTTCAAGCAGCTTCCTGTTCCAGACAGCACTGAAGCCTTAAAGTATAGCTTTAATAGCTTTAATAGCACTGTCCTGAAGGAGAAATTATGAGCTAAGTCAGACATTTATTCAGTTTCTATGCGGTAATAAAAAGGTGCACTCACTACACATTTCAGGCCTTGAGTTTTCAGTTTTGTTAATGGAAATAGCATAATTTCTGCTCTGTGTAATTCATGATGCTAGGATGGCAACGTGGGACTCTGTGCCTGCACTGACAGGGAGTGGCCCGCCACTGTCAGTCCCCTCTCCCGCGGGAGCTGCACACTCAGGGAGTATTCTTTGACAGTACATTGTTAAGTTTTTTTAATGAGAATTAAAGTCTTGGCTTTGAAATCTGATCAGCCACCTCTTCTTCACTGTATGACTTTTCAAACTTAATTCTCTCTCCACTTTCCATTTGTTTTTAAATCAGAAAAGTAGAAGGGATTTGTAACACACCCCTCAATACACTGACAGGAGAACTTAGTGGAGACGGACATGTACTGACCAGTGTGGGGGAGGTGTGTCCACACACAGTGCACCGGAGGGCTGGCTTGGCTGGCGCTGCCCTGCAGGGCTGGCTTATTGATAGCTCAGGGGCCCTGCTCTAGACGCTTCTGCACACTGATGAGGCTCTTGTACCATCCCACCTAAATCTGTTTTAGATTAAGAATAAAGGAATAAAAAGAAACACAGAGACAATTTACATTTAAAGTGTGAGTAGATATTATCGATACATGGATACATGGCTGACAGGCTAGCTCTCTTTTCAGCTATATTCTAATATAGATAATGTAGCTAAGGTTGTCAGCATTCTCAAATACCAATGTTAAATTAACCTTTAGTGTTAAGTACTGCCAGTACTACTATGACTCGCAGAATAACTACTGCCCAAATTTTATATCTACAATTAAAACACTAAAAGTTAGTTAATTTAGTATCGGGTTTATCATCTTTCTGAGATCTTCACTTCTCCCTTTTCTTCTTGTCTTTCTCCCTTTCTTCCAACTTTTGAAGTGTACTTGACAGAAATTGTTTACAGACAGGGTGTGTGATTTCACTTGGGTATACACACACATATTTTAAGATGATTACCAAGTCAGTCAGGCTAGCCAACCACCCACCACATCATATAGCTCTCCCTCTGAGGATGGGCTGAGACACACAAGGTCCAGCATCTTAGCAAATCTCAGACACACAGTACGTTCCCCGGAGTCACTGCATTATACCTCAGTTCTCCAGAAGTTATTCATCTTATAACTGCCGACTTGTGCCTGCTGACCAACCTCTCTGCTTCTGTGAGTTTGGCCTTTGGACTTCCCGTTTGCAGGGTCCTGCAGGGCTTGCCTTTCAGTCTCTCGCTGCTTACTTGACTTCGCACAGATTCCTCCATGTTCATCCTTGTCACAAAGAGCGGGGACCCCTTCCATCTCAAGGCTGCGAATCACCTTGTGTGTATTTATTACTGTATTTTCTTTCTCTGTTAATCTGCTGTCAGACAATCAGCTTCACACAGCAGCTTCATGGTATATGTGGGGTTGTTGAATTTCATCAAGTGCGCATTTTGCAGCTTTTGAATAAATATAAAATTTTAGTCTTTATTAGTGTGGTGTGTTAAACATACTGACTTGCGTAGATTGAACCATCTTTGCATCCCAAATATTAGTTCCACTTAATCATGGAGTATGATCACTTTAGTGTGTACGTGAATGCATTTTGATAGTATTTTATTGAATGTTTATGTTAATCAGGAATATTGACTTATCATTTTCTTTTCTTGTAGTGGTTTGATTTGTAATAACAGAGTAATCTCAGCCTCCTAAAATAGGTTTGAAAATGCTCTCTTCTCTTCAACTTTTTTGGAATGTTTGAAAAGTGTTGGTGTTACTTCCCGTTTCAGTGTTTGGTACAATTCGCCAATGAGGCCAGTAGGTCTTGGGCTTTTCTTTGGTGAGAGATTCTTCGCGTGGCGCATTCCACCTCCTTACTCTAGGTGAGTGTTTGTGCCTCCCGGGCACCGCCTCCTGTGTCACTTGGGCGGCTGCGTGTGTCCCGGGAGTCACCACTTCTTCACGACAGCAATCGCTCACGCAGCTCTTGGACTGTGTATCGGGGCGGTGTCAGTCCCCTGTCCCCTCCTCAGTTCTTCATTTATTGGGCTCCTTTAAGGTTGATCAATTTTAAAAACTTTAAAAAGACAATTCTTGGTTTTATTATTTTTGTATTGTTTTGCTAGTTTCTATTTTATTTATTTCTGCTCCAATTTTTATTTTTTTCCTTCTAGCTTTAGGCGAAGTTTGTTCTTTTGCTTATTTCTTGAGGCGTAGTGCTGGCCTGTTTGCCTAACCCTCTTCCTCTCTCTCTTTTTAAGGCTTGCACTGCTGTAAGCTTCTCTTTTAGAACTGCTTTTGCTGCACCTCACAAGGTGTGTGTGTGTGTGTGTGTGTGTGTGTGTGTGTGTGTGTGTGTGTTTTAATTATCATTTTACCACATTTAAAAAAATTTTCCTTCTGATTTTCTCTTTGTTTTGTGGGATGTTCATGTGTGCACTGTTTAATTTCTGTGTTTCTATGGTTTTCTGAACTTTTCTCCCATAGATTTCTAGTTTCGTATCACTGTAGTTAGAAAAGAGGCTGGGCATGCATGCGTTGTCTTTTTAAACTTCTCAAGACTTGCTCTGTGACCTCATATATAATCGAGCCTGCAGAATATTCTATGTGAACTTGGGGAAATGTGTGTTTTCCCACCGTTCGCAGACTGCTCTGTCCCTGTTAGGTCCATTTGCCTTAGAGTGAGACACAGTTTGGCATTTTCTTGCTGACATCTGTCTGGATGGTTTATCTACTGGTAGACCAGGAGTACTGGAGTTTCCTTCTGTTATTTTATTTTACTCTATTGCCCTCTCCATCTCTAGTGATATTTGTCTTATATTTAGGTACTCTGGTTTTAGATGCACCCATATTTGCACCTAAATCAAGAATTGTATCCTTTTTATGCACTGACCTCTTGATCATTACGAAATAACTCGTGTCAACTCTGTTTACTGTTTTCAATTTAAAGTCTGGTTTATTTGATAGGAGCACAATTCCCTTGCTTTCTCTTGGTTTCCATTCCATTTTCCTCATCCCTGAACTTTCAGTGAGTGGGTGTCCATAAAAGTAAAGTGTGATGTGCAACCCAAAAGTCAGCATGGGTGATTACATTAGTTAAGACTCTTAGAAACATCTAGGATGCTTGAGTTTTCCTTCTGGGCCACACAAGAGCTTCTTCTACTGAATGTGTCCTCACTGGGCAGTAAGAAACAGAACTAAAGATGTCTCTGATTAGAAAAGTGAAGCGAGTCTCTTGTTGGCAGCATTGGTTGTGTCATTTTTATTGTGTTTCATTTTCTTAATCCATTCAGCCACAAAATGCTAACGATAATCAGAATTGCTTTTCAAAATCAATAGTCATAGAGTGTTTCCTATGCATGGAGTCATTATGGAAATTATTTAAGATAATTGTGATGCTATCCAAGAAAGTTTGAGGTCTTAAATCAAGTTTCCTGTTAGTCATACTATTTACCATGTTTTCCTCTCCATGTACTTACCTGAGAGAGTCAAAGCGGCCAACGTGACAGAAACATAATTTAATAAGTGTACAATGGCTCAGGCAATCTGACATTTTAATAGTGTTCCCTGGTTCACTAATTTGAGTTGAAAATGGTCCATTATCTCTGAAAGTCAAAATCCAGGCAGGTTGTTTTCTTTCTGATGTAAACATCCTTACTGTTTCTTCAGAGATATCTTGGTTTTATATTGCATTAAAATAGTACCAATTTGAGCCAATTGTGTTTTATCCATGAATAGTAATTTTATGCTTTCCAAGGCAGCAAATACTTAAAGTTCTTTTTGATGCTTATAAATAATTGAAGACTTTTATCTGGTTCATTTTTACTCCTTTATTCATAAAAATATTTAATAAGTGTCTATAATGCACATGCTACCACAGCAAAATTATGAATTTGGTTAAATAAACTTTGTTTCTTTGAATAATATTCTTATGTAAGGAAATACACAAAATACATGTACAGAGGAGTTAAGGTGATTTCAGATCTATGACAAATTCTTACTATGAAAACAAGGCAAATATTTCTAATACAATGTATGCAGAAAAGATTTAAACAGGGAAAAGTCCCAGATAGACTAAGAAAGAAAGCAAAACAAAAACAAAAAAACCACATGGTATTAAACACACAAGAGGATGGAATTTTGTGAAGAAAAGGATAAAGATGATAGGAGAGGAGGCAACAGCTGGATTTCTATACACACATTACAGGTTTTCATTTGTTTAAATCTGTTTCAGTGAGCGTTTGCTTAAGAATGTCTTTAAGTGAGCCTTCGTTCTGCTCCAGCTTAAACCATGCTTAGTCTTGGAACAGGCTTTTCAGCATAAATATTTAAATTTTTCTTCAATTCTTAAAATTTTTTAAGGACTATATTTGCATATTTCCTTCCCCCAGTTATCTCCTGTTCTTTTCCCCAAAATTCTTCTGAGGGAAAACTGCAGCTTTTCAATCTCTCCTTGGTGTCGTGCAGCTTCCAGTGTCTCTCATCTTTTAATCCAGCCCTGTCATGATCTGTGGTAGGTCTTCACTTCTAAATTCCAGGAGCTAACTTTCTGGCCACGACTGCTACCTGTGTGCTTTCTCTTCTGCATACTAACTGTTTCCAGCTATTTGCTTTCATTTCCAAGATTTCAAAAAAATGTGTTTTGTTTCTACACTGTATACTGGAAGCGTCACTGATGTTCAGAATAAATAATAACTTTGCTTTCCACACTGCTGCCTGTATTTAATCATTCGGCATCTTAATGAAGGAAGGCCCCTTGGTCAGTGAAGGTCACTGCAAATGATTGCCCTGTCTTCTGATTCTTCAGTAAACATCTGCCGCATGGGTTCCTTTTTCATACATTGATGAGCAAGAGTCTTCCTTTTAATTTATAAGAGACATAACAGCACACAGTGAGAGGATTATATTTAATCAAGTCTGCATCCTGTTGAGGCTAACATTTTAATAGATATTATGTCCATAGGCCTTTATTAATATGTAAAAAAAACTGCAAAAATTCTAGACATTGCAGAAGACAAGCATTACTCTTTGCACCTATTAAATAGTCCTATGAGATGTGCTGACCTCACTCTGCACAGGACAGTTATATTCAGACCCCTCCATTTGTGCTGTCTCCGTCTGCTCTTCAAAACAAGCCCTTAGGTGGACATTGTCACCCTAAAGGGTGGTGATTCTCTTTGGATCCTGCCTTAACTTGAAGGAGCCCTGGGCAGGCCCTGTGATTGATGTCTGCTCTGCTGGGACCCAGACAGCTCTGTTAAAGCGCTGGGGCAGAGACCACTCTCCCTCTCCTGGAAGAACCACAGACCTGCCCTGTGAGCTGCCCAGACCCAAGGTGGACTTGCTGTAGATGGTTCATCTACTGGGGGAAGAAAGGATATACAAGTCTTCCATTCTATACTTAGAATGATGTAGGGTAGTCACGAATACCCATGAAGAATTCAAGAGTCTTTGACCTCACAACAATGTATTTTGGTTGAAGAGGTTCTTTTTTGTGTGTTGGTTCATTTTTACTTACATTATTTAAACTAAGAACCACAGAAGCTAGCTGCATACACTTTTCCCCATGAAAATTAGCATTTAGCAAAAAGGTATAAGTGGCTGGTTTTTTTCCTGGTTTATAGGAAGGAGTTACTGATGGACTGACAGATTGATTTGGTGCAGGGGTCAAACCCACGTTCTCTGGTATCACAGACAAGCACCTCCTCAGAGCAGCAGTCCCAGCCTTGAGGAAAACTTTTGAAAACACTAACACATCTATTAGTGGGTTAGGTTAACCACTGATCTTTATTTTTGGTGATTATTGAAATAATTGTTAAAAAATAAGCTGTAAGTAAAGTAAATCAGACATAATCTTGAATCCTGCCTGGTTTCACTTATATGGAAAACTCAGTATGTATATAAAGTGCCAAATAAAAGATAATAGGAAAAAAGTTACTGTAACCCAACATGAAAAATGTATCTAAAATATTCTTTTATTTATGTAATTGTCCTTTGCATATTATTTTGGCCTATCCTGGTTATTAATCAACATATAACTTTATAATGACATATGATGAATAAATCTGACACTGCAAAATAAAGAGGAGTGGAGGGAAGGGGGGACTTGAGATGCGTTATGGACGTGTTCTAATTCCCTAGAATGTGGTCATTACACAGTGATAAAAATTAAAAATACAGTAAAAATTATGATAAATCAAGAGTGAGACTTATAATCTTAAAAGACTGCTGAATATGGCTTTGCCACAAAAGCTCTTACTTCTTGTGTTCACAGAACACATTTCTGTGCAGTATTTTCATCTTATCAGAGGAGAGAATGCACGTTTTCAACAGTCTAGGCTTTCGTCATGTGTTCAGCATTAAGAACATAAAAGTCTTTGATGGAAGTAGTGCTTGTACTAACTTTCTATACCCAGAACAGGACCTGGTAATTTTGGTAGAAAATAAATGCTATGTGATGAACTGAACAAAGAAAATAGCTCTCCATCGCACTATTGGAACATAGTAAGAGAGGGCCCACCTTCTACATCCGCCTCCCCATCCCAGCTGCATTTGGAGAACTGTGGGGCTTCCAACGGGTGGGCGGGCGCACGCTATCCCTGTTTGGGACTCCCACACCTCACCATCGGTGTGCAGAGGAGGGGCTGGGCAGATCTGGGGCGCCTGCATCAGCCTCCCCGTGTGTCTGGAAGACTGTGGATGTCTCAGCCGGCAGTGGAGCATCGCAGGTTCCAGAGGCCCCGCAGCCTGTGGTGAGTGCTCAGCACACTCTGCCCAAAGCCCAGACTGTTTGGGACCCTCCAGGCTTCCAGGTGCAGTGAAGTGGAGAGGTGGGTTTGAGGTGTCTACATCCACCTCCGCATTCCGGCTGTGCTTGGAGAGCTGTGGAGTTTCCAACTGGCAGGTGGGCTCACAGTATCCCTGAGGCCCAGCTTATCTGGAACTGCAGAGTTCTGAACAGGCAGAGGGGGGCCATTGGTTCTGCAGGCCCAGTGGCTTGGGGTAGCGTGGTGCCAGAGTCTCAGTAGCTCCAAACATAGAAGGGGATTTTCAACAGATCCTGAGGAAGCTTTCAAATAACACTTGAAACACAGAAATATAGGAAAATGACAAAATGAAAGACGAAATTACAACCTCAAACCTCCAGCCCATCTCAAGAAACCCTAGGAGCGATGCATATAGAAGAAAATATATCCCATCCACCTCATATATTGGACACAATAGCCACTGAAATTGACAAGCAACTCCAGGAAGCTTTAAAGAAATTCAAACTCGAAATAATCTCCCAGATAAAAGAAGAAATGATAAAAGAAATGAAAGAGATTCTAAATATATCTAAAGAAAACACAGTTAAAAAATTGGAGGAACTAAACAAAAAGATAGAATCCCTAGATGAGCAATATAAGAAACAAACAGAATACATAATGCAGATGCACAGAGATATACAGGAAATAAAAAACTCCACTGAAAGTTGTAAAAACCGCCTTAATGAAAGTGAAGATAGAATTTCAGACCTTGAAGACAGGATTGCAGCTAGTGAACAGGAAAGGGAAGATCTTTTAAAAATAACAAGTAATCAGGAAACAACAATTCAACAACTGCAAGACGATGCAAAGAAAAATACCATAAGAATGATAGGGATTAATGAAAAAGAAGGAGACAACACAAAGGATGTCAAGAGGATATTTAGAGAAGTAATAGCTGAAAATTTCCCAAGCATGAGATCAGAAACCGACATCAGGATCAGTGAAGCATATAGAACCCCAAATAGTCATAACCAAAATAAAACTACACCCAGACATATAATAATCACCATCCCAGAAATCCAACACAAGAATAGATTATTAAAAGCTGTCAGAGAGAAAAGACAGATCGCTTATAAAGGAAAACCTATCAGAATTACAGCAGACTTCTCAGCACAAACAATAAAGTCAAGAAGACCATGGAGTGAAGTATTCCAGATCCTAAAGCAAAATGATTTCCAGCCTAGACTGATGTATCCTGCAAAACTATCATTCAAAATTGATGGTGAAATACGATACTTCCATGACAAAGAACAGCTGAAGAACTGCATGAACACCAAACCAACCCTGCAAAAAATATTGAAAGACATTTTAGATACACAAAGGAAAAAAACACTAAGCAAAGCAGATAATTAAACAGAACACAAAGATAAAGATGCAACAGCAGAGAGATAACATGTCAACAATAAACCAGCATTTAACAGTAATAACCATTAATGTAAATGGTCTCAATGCACCAATCAAAAGAAACAGACTAGCAGAATGGATCAAGAAACAAAATCCAATCGTATGCTGTTTACAGGAAACCCATCTAACCCAGAAGGATACTCACAGACTGAAAGTCAACGGTTGGAAAACAATACTTCATGCAGCAGGAATCCAAAAAAAGGCAGGAGTAGCCATTCTGTTTGCAGACAACGTGAACTTTAAACCAACAATGACCATAAAGGACAAAGAAGGTCACTACATACTCGTTAGGGGAAAACTCCAAGAGGAAGAGATAACTATCTTAAATATATATGCACCAAACTCCAGAGCACCCAGTTATATAAAACAACTATTAACAGAAATGAAAACTCAAATTATCAGTAACACAATTGTAACAGGAGACCTTAATACACCATTGACACCAAGGGACAGATCAACCAGACAGAAAATGAGCAAAGAAATAACAGAACTGAATCACATCTGCGAACAAATGGATTTGATAGACATATACAGAATGTTCCACCCAACAACATCAGAATATACATTCTTCTGAGCAGTACATGGATCATTATCTAAAACAGACTATATATTAGCTCACAGAACATATTTAAACAAATGCAAAAGAGTTGAAATCATCCCTTGTATGTTATCGGATCATAGCGCTCTGAAATTAGAAATTAATGATAAAAGATGCTGCAAAAATCCCGCAAACACATGGAAACTGAATAACACACTCTTGAGTAATCAGTGGCTCACAGAAGAAATTAAAGAAGAAATTAAACAATACCTAAAAGAAAATGAAAATGCAGATAGAACTTACCGGAATTTGTGGGATGCAATAAAAGCCGTCCTCAGAGGAAAATTTATTGCACTGAGTTCCCACATCAGGAAAACAGAATGAATACAAATAAATAACTTGATGCTACACCTCAAACAGCTAAAAAAAAGAAAAGCAAGTCAAGCCCAAAGCCAAAAGAAGAGAGGAAATTATAAAAATCAGAGCAGAAATCAATGCAATAGAGACTAAGAAACCAATCCAAAGAATCAACGAATCAAAGAGTTGGTACTTGAAAGAATAAATAAAATTGATAAGCCCCTAGCCAAACTTATTTAAAAAAGGGAAGAAAAAGCTCAAATTCATGCAATAAGAAATGAAAAAGGTGAAATCACTACAGACCCAATAGAAATACAGAAGATCATCAACACCTATTTCGAAAACCTCTACTCTCAAAAGTTTGATAACACAGAAGAAATAGACAGATTCTTAGAAACATATGAAGTACCAAAGCTAGATCAAGAGGATGTAAAACTGTTGAATAACCCAATCTCTGTTAATGAAATTGAAAATGTAATTAAGTCCTTACCTACAAAGAAGAGCCCAGGCCCAAGAAATACAAAGAAGACCTAATGCCGACACTCCTCAAACTATTCAATGAAACTGAAAGGGAAGCAATCCATCCTAAGTCATTCCTGGAAGCAAATATTACTCTAGTACCAAAACCTGAGAAAGACCCAACTAAAAAAGAGAACTATAGACTGATCTCCCTAATGAACACAGATGCAAAAATCCTCAATAAAATATTGGCAAATAGGATGCAGCAAATCATCAAGATTATACACCATGACCAAGTGGGATTCATCCCAGGAATGCAAGGATGGTTCGACATACGTAAATCAATAAATGTAATCCACCATATCAATAAAGCCAAAAGTAAAAATCACATGATCACTTCTATAGATGCAGAAAAAAGCCTTCGATAAGGTCCAACATTTATTCATGACAAGTACTTTACAGAAAATTGGAATAGATGGTCTTTACCTCAATATAATAAAGGCCATTTATGACAAACCAATAGCCAGCATCATACTAAATGGCCAAAAATTGAAAGCCTTTACTTTAAAATCAGGCACAAGACAAGGATGTCCTTTGTCACCACTCCTATTTAATATAGTACTGGAAGTACTAGCCAGAGCAATTAGGCAAGAGAGAGAAATAAAAGGGGTAAAGATAGGAAAAGAAGAAGTTAAATTATCATTATTTGCAGATGACATGATACTCTACATAGAAGACCCCCTAAACTCCATTGAAAGACTCTTAGATACAATAAATAAACTCAGTAATGTGGCTGGATACAAAATCAATACTCAGAAATCAATAGCATTCCTATACACAAACAACAAAATCACAGAGGGAAATAAGAGAAACTACACTCTTCACATTAGCAAGCAAAAAATGAAATATTTAGGAATTGCTCTTATGAAAGAAGTGAAAGACTATACAGTGCAAATTATAATAACCTGAAAAAAGAAATTGAAGATGATCTCAGAAAATGGAAAGACATCCCTTGCTCATGGATAGGAAGAACAAACATTGTGAAAATGGCCATTCTCCCAAAACTGTTATACAGATTCAATGCAATCCCAATAAAAATACCATCAACATACCTTATAGATCTACAGAAATCACTCCTAAATTTCATCTGGAACCAGAAGAGACCTAGAATAGCAAAGGCAATTCTAAGCAGCAAAGGCAAAGCAGGAGGCATCACAATCCCTGACTTGAAGTTATACTACAAAGCAACAGTAGTAAAATCAACATGGTATTGGAATCAAAACAGAGCCGAAGATCAATGGAATAGATTAGAAGACACAACCACAACTACAAACACACTCAACCACCTTATCTTTGATAAAGGAGCCAAGCAGGTTCACTGGAAGAATGACAGTCTCTTTAATAAATGGTGCTGGAAAAACTGGCTCTCCATTTGCCGAAAACTAAAGCTAGACCCATGCCTATCACCATGTACTAAATTAAAATCTAAATGGGTCAAAGATCTGAATATTAAAACAGAAACACTAAATCTATTGGAATACAAATTGGGTAGAAACCTTGAAGACATAGGAGTAGGTAGAGAATTCATGAACAGGACTCAAACCGCATGGGAAATACTTCCCAGAATCAATAACTGGGACCACTTTTTATTAAAAAGTTTATGCATGTCAAAAGAAATCTCCAGCATAGTGAAAAGAAAACCCACAAACTGGGAAAAGATTTTAGTGAACTCTCTCTCAGACAAGGGACTCTTGTCTAAAACATATAAAGAATTAAAAAAACTCAGACCCCCAAAATTCAAAGATCCAATCCAAAAATGGGCATCTGAGATGAATACGCACTTCTCAGATGAAGAAATACAAATGGCAAATAAATACATGAAAAAATGTTCAACATCATTGGTCATTAGAGAAATGCAAATTAAAACCACACTGAGATACCATCTCACTCCTGAAAGAATGGCCAGGATCAAGAAAACCACCAAGAACAAATGCTAGAGAGGCTGTGGGTAAAAAGGAACTCTCCTACACTGTGGGTGGGAGTGTAGACTGGTGCAACCATTGTGGAGGTCAGTCTGGAAATTTCTCAAAAAGCTGGGATTGGAAGTCCCATTTATTCCAGCTATTCAGAAGAACTGAAATCATCATACCACAGTGATATATGTGCACCTATGCTTATGGCAGCACAATTTTTAATCGCCAGATCTTGGAAACAACCCAAGTGTCCATCAACTGAGGAATGGACAAAAAAGTTGTGGTATTTCTATACAATGGAGTATTATTCAGCTATAAAGAAGGATCACATTGAGATATTTATCAATAAATGGGAGCAGCTTGAGACCATACTTATAAGTGAAATAAATCAATCTCGCATGTGTGAATACCGAATAGTTTCCCTAGTGTAAGTAATGATTCAAATATATAAAAATACGTGGTAATCATGATTCCCCATTATGTGGCCTTGAAGCCTTATAAAGTTTTGACTTATTAATTGGAAAGGCTTTATTCTGGGCTTCTTGATATGGAAATATTTGAAGCTATAGTATATGAAGTTTTATTCAAATATTTCAAGGAAAAAGACAGACACTATGGTAACTACTATTAAGTTGGGTTATTTGGTGGTGAAGCACTAGGTTGCTGAAACAGTCATGCTTTGACCTGTATTGTTATATTGTTATGTCCTATTTTATCTCAATCTCTCCCTTATTCATTAAAAAAATTATTTAGTTATTTTTATGGTTTTTTTTAATTAAGGGGAAAATTTAAAAAATTAGCAGGATATATAATAGTAACTTTTTTTGATTTCCTATTAACTTGTTTTGAAGTCCTGTAATACTCCCACTATCTTGTTTTGACTGATTAGACTCTGTTCCGTTCTGTATGATAGTATCAAGTTTGAGGGTATAGGCAACTACTTTGAAGGCAGTAAGATTCACTAAGATGCCCATTCTGGTTTGACTATTGTCTCCTTTGGAAGTCCTGTAATGTTTACAATGCTTAAGTTTTATTGGTCTTGTTCTCTACTGTTTTGATCAACTTTATAATATCTAATGAGATAGCCAATTCTTTTTAAGGAAACAAGAGACATTTTTGATAACCATTGTTGATAACCTTGTACTCTGTTTTACATCATGTGCTATGTCTATCCTTGGTTTTGACTGACAGCTTTGTTTTGCCATATTTGACTTTATTCTCTCCCTCCCAAAAAAAGTAATAAGAACTAAGGAGAAATAAAACCCAAAATGTGTAAATTTTGTTGTAAAAAAGAGAGGGAAAAAAGGTGCTCTAAAGGATACAACAGCAAGTGTGTTTAGGGGTGTTAAATAGCTGACCATATTAATGTTTTTGGTTGGATCACTGAACACAACTGTTTGCAGTCTCACTGTTTGAATGTCCACTTTGTATGCTTTGATACTGTGATTTGAGCAACTATCTCTAGGATGATAATGTGTAATCTATTAACTGGTGATTTCTTACTTTTTTTTTGTAGTTCTGTATTACTTGTACCCTTTCACCACTTTGTTTTGTTTTGTTTTTTTCTCTTTTTCCTTTTAAATAAAATTTTAAAAAAAAGAGGTGGCCCAGGATAATGTGATATCAATCTAAGGAAGAAGTAATAGGCAGCGTCTCCACCATTTTAACAGTGAATTAACTAGTGAGTAATAGAGCTAACTGCCACTGAGTATTCTAGAAGGAATAATTAATTCTTAGGAAGCTTAGAGGCATTTTAAAAGCACATACCTCTAAATTGCTTGTCATAAGAGTATAATAATGCAATACCAAGCTTTTAAAGATAAATGAGACCATAAGGAACTTTAGCCATATTTTAGTGCCAGCTCATGCACCTGGAAGATTTATCTTTAATTAAAACTGGCATATAAATTGAACACGACCGAGAAGTCAAATTACACTTTGGTGAGAATGGAAGAGGATGAGTAATAGTTATGATTTCACTCTGCGTTTGTATGGCACTATGGCTATTCTTATTTATGTCTATAGCTCTAGAGCAGGGTGCTAAGACTTAAAACATCAAAACTATCCCTGTGGTTTGTCTTTCGTCTCTTCACATTCTGTAACTTACTCACGTGGTGTAGTGTCCTCACGGAAATGTAGCAGGTTGGAAATCTCCAAGAAGTGCCTGGCTCAGGGTTTGGATCTGGCATGGCAGACTCTATGTATTACTAAATGCAACCCCTGAGTCTGAGTAGTAATGCTTAGATAGAAGGAATTAGACTTTTATACTGATTTTCATAGTTATGAAAGCCAAGGCAAGGAAGTATTGAAACAAAACTTCATATTAAGTGTGTTACTTCAGGCAGCCTCAGTGTATGGATGATAAAGTAAGGCTGGCTTGAGATTTCTCTCTGAAAGATGAAATACAGAAATGTCTGCACTAATATTCTTTTGCTCTTGCCCATTGTCAATATTCAGCAACATTTGCATAGTTGTTGCTCCAGATGCTATGGCATGTCTGTAATCCCAGCATTCAGGAGGCTGAGGCAGGAGGATCACTGTGAGTTTGAGGCTAGTCTAGGCTACATAATGAGTTCAAGACAAGCCTGAACTACATAGGAAGACCTTATCTAATAAATGATTAATAAGTAAATACGTAATCCCCAAAATGAAAGATATAAGTTGAGAAGCATGACAGTTATTTATTAAGATTTCAGCATTTTTGCTTTGCCAGTGGATAAGAAGCCCTCCACCCTTGTCACTCCTTGTTTGGTGTCCCTAGATTTTCATTTGGCTTGGCAGGAAGCATTGCAGTACAAGCCTGCTGCACCTGTTAATAGACCTCATAAAAATGGTTCAACATCACCATTGCTAAGTAATGTGTCTTCTTGATGTAGATGTAAAAAGTTTTTTCCACCAAATTCCAGACTATTAAACAATATGAAAAATGCTATTGGAGATCACTTTTGCTGAAACAGAGACTCTGCTTTTTAAAGATTACAGTGGTTAAATTACTTGCAGCAGGAAAGAGCACATTGGAGAAAATTCTCGAAGCAGCGCATCCTGATCAAAGCAAAGGGAAACTAACATCACAGGAGAGAGGCCGGCTGCTCCTGGAGAGGCGGCTGCATTCCTGGGGGTGCTGCAGCTTGAGGTCATGCGGGTGGGTGTGGTTTTGGCTTTTCCCAGGGCAGAATGACCACAGTCCCCGTGGGGACCTGGTGTTTGTGCACCACATAGCTAATTCTTTCTCCCTTCGCCTCCCAGCATCAGATTCATTTATGTATCTTTTAAGACCTTATAAAGTTAAGTATCATATGTAGAGACAGAAAACCAGACTAACAGGCTGAAGGACCTGTACAACACGTGAGGTGATCGTGCTGTGTCAAGGTCCACTTTTAGCACATGCTGGATTACAATACTTTTTTTTCTCTTGTTTCTTTTTATCTGTCTTTTATTTTATAATAGATAGATGAGAGAGAGAGAGAGAGAGAGAGAGAGAGAGAGATAGAGAGAGAGAGAGAGAGTTTTTCATTTAAGAGAAGCCATGCAATATTTGGGCTTGTGTGTCTGCATTACCTCCCTGAGTATTATGATCTGAGGTTATTCACATTTACAGCAGCAGACTCACAGCAGCTAAACCTTGGAAGTAGCTGCTATGTCCAGAAACTGGTGAATGGGTAAGAAAAGGTAGTATTTACACCCAGTGGAGTACCACTCTGCTATAGAGAAGGATTAACTTGAGTTACCTGTAGGAGAATGGAGACACCCAGATGACTCTTTGAAAAGTAATGAAGTGTGTCCTCTGACCCTGAATCCCTGCTGGTGCCGATGGTCCAGCACTGGCGCCATCTTCTCTTGGGATCAGAGACCAGTCTCTAATTTCTTTCTTTCCAGGCAGAGCAGACCATGTGACTGCTTTCTTGGGCTGAAGGACAGGAAAGAGGGAGCGAAGGTCCATCCTGTGTCTGAGGGCAGTGGTGGCTGTGTAGGAGGCGATGCCACAGGGTCTGTTCCACATCCACCAAAGCAGCACTGCACGGTGAGCAGCATTAAAGTAATATCAACACACACACATACACACACTCAATCACACACACACACTCACACTCAATCTCACACACACTGAATCTCACAGACACTCTCAACCATACAGTCACACACACTACACACAGTCACACACACACTCAATCTCACACATACTCTCAATCACACACAGACTCAATGTCACATGCACACACACACACACACACACACACACACACTCAGTCTCACACACACAGCTGTTGAGAAGGTAGAGCGTATCTAAGATTACAAGTCAAGACAAGGCCCCACTGGGTTCACATTTGCGGTCTTGCCACAGCCTCTGGCAGCATCTAGAGATTTTCTTCCCGGAGACGCTGGGCGGTTTGGGTCACAGCACCACAGGGCCCAGTCAGAGAAAAGCCTGCAGCATGGGGCTGAGTCCAGACTGAGGCTGCTGGGAGTCGGTCAGCTGCGTGAACCGGCGAGGAGCGGGCTTGTCTTCGGCCGCCGGCCTGAGCTCCTGCTCACGCAGAGGCCCTCGTGGCTCGGGAAAGCCACCCCGGGGTCCTGGAGCAGCGCGTAACAGCTGACCAGGGCCACCGGTTAGAACTGCGGCTCACCAGCGCGGCCCAGATCACACCCGACCCAAACTGTGCGCAGCAGGGCACGAATTCCTCCCGACAGAGAAGATGACCCAGCCAGGGTGCAGGTGCTGGAACCAAATCAGAAACTCGCAGCAGGCGCGGGAAGAAGGCGTCGGACTCGCAGCAGAGCACCCGCCTGCTGGCGGATCATCAGTCTCTGCAGCGAACGCGGTTTCTTCTCGCTCTGCTGTCACCACCGTTCAGCTGACCTGAATGTTCCGCAGGCCAGACAGCGCTGGCCGCCCGGCCGGCCTCCAGGTGGACTCATGCGCGGAATCCGGGCCTCGCCTGTTGGCACCAGGGCAGCTGCCCTCCACCCGGGCCCTTGGTGTCCACTCCTCTTCCTCCTGCAGACCTTGCACGTCCCGTGTCCAGCGCGGCTGCCCGGGGCGGAGACGGCCTCCCAGACTGCCTGCTCCGAGGACCTGGCCATCGCGAGGAGCCCGCGGGGCAGCTGCAGTTCCCGGAGCTGCCCTGGGCCAGTGGCTGGGGACGGAGAGCGTGCCATCTCGGTGGCCCTGCAGGCCGCCAGGAGCCTGCCAAGGGCCGGGGGCCGAGTTTGGTTAATATATTGCATATTGTTATCTTAGAAGTAGTTGTTCAGGTTGCAAGATCTAGGCATAAAAATGATCAGTTGAACAAAGACAGCACAGACTGCTCCTGGCTTTTGTGTATAATGAGGTTTTTGATTTCTGAGTTCGTATCTTGAGTCATTATTCATGCACTCAGATTTTTCTTTCTTCATAATAGAACCTTTAGAAATTTATCCTTTATTTTTGGCTATAAAATTTCTTATGTATTGTTTATAGTATTCTCTTGTGAACCTTTATTTTTCTTCACTATTAGCTGTAACATACATCCTCTTTTTCATTTCTAAATTATTAGTTTTCTCTTTTTTCTTAATCTACCTAAAGTAGTTTCAGTTTTATTGACTTTTCATAAAATCAGCTATTAGATTATGATTTATTTCATAAAATAATGCATTATTCTTAGTCTCTAGTTCATTTATGTCTGCTCTAATATTATGATTTTGTGCTCTTTGGTAACACTGGGCTTAGTTTGATCTTCTCTTTCTGGTTCTATAGGGTGTAAAGGTTAGTGTTTTATTTGAAATCTTTCTTCCTTCTTTACACAGACATTTATAAATCTCTTTCAATACTGTGTTGGTTTTGCAGCATGTTTTGGTGTGTTGTACTTTCATTTTTACTTTTATCAGAATTTTTAAAAAATTTCTTTTGTGTTTTATGTTTTTGTGTTCTTTTAATCATTAGATATTTGGGAGTGTTTTAATTACCAAATATTTATTAATTTTCTAATTTTCTCTCAGTAACTGGTATCTATTGCATCTTTTCGATCAGAAAAGATACTTCTTACAATTTAAGCCTTCTTAAATTCAATAATTGTTGTTCTTTCTTAACATGTGACATGGCTCATGATATGTTCAATGTATGGTTGAAGAGAGTTAATATTCTTAAAATTTAATAGCATTAAGATTTAACATTGTCTGTGCTACAAAACACAACTTGCAGAATTAATGCAATATCTTCCCAAACCCTGTAGAAATAGACAAATAAATTTTAAAATTCATATGGAATCTCAAGGGACCACCAGTAGCAAAATAACTTTGTAAAAGAATGAAGTTGAAGGATTTAAACTTCTTGTTTTCAAAAGTACTTGGTCAGACTCACTAATACAGCATGCAGTCCTGGTGTTATGCTTGTCATGAAGTTATCGATTCCTGATTCTATGTCTTCATTAAGTCCCAGCTACAAAACTCAAAACAGTATGAATCTACCATAAAGACAGACAGCTAGTGGAACAGCATACAGTCCAGAAGCAAGCCCCCATCAGTCAGTCAAAGGGTCTAAAGCAGGTGCTGTGACTTTCCCGGAGGAGGAGGGAGTCCGAGTCCTGCCAACAAGGGGGACAACGAAGGAAAGTGAAAGCCTTGTACTAACACCATCTGTGCAAGTTAACTGGAAATACGCCTGAGATCTAACTATACAGCATTCAATTATGTCCTATTAGAAGAAAACATACAGCTAGATCTTCAAGGCACTGGATTTGGAAATTATTTCTTATGAATAACACCAAACATGTGGGCATCATTTATAACAAATAAATAACAGAAGGAAGAATAGACAAAGTTAGCTTCATTACAATTAATGTCGTAGAGAATCAAGCTTCACCCTAATAGAGTGAAAAATACCTACACACTGGGACAAAATACTTACAAATCCTATATCTGGGAAGGAATTAATAATATGTAGAACACACAGAGAGTTTCTAAAACTGAGTGAAAAACAACAGGCTAAAAATCTGAGCACACATTTCTCCAAAGAAGTTATAACAGCCAGCCAGAATGTTCAATATAACTAATTACTGAGGAAATACAAACAAATCACTATGAAATATCGTCTCACACACAATGGGACAATTGTTAAAAAATAAAAATAGAAAATAACAAGCATTGGTGAGGGCATGAGGAGTCACAATTCATGTGTACGATTGGTGGGGATGTACAGCTTTACTGGCCCTATGGAAAACAGTGAATCAGTTCTTTAAAAAAGAATACCCCAGAGTAATCAAGGCTGGGCCTTGAGGATGTGCTTGTACATTCACATTGCTAGCTACTTTATTCCCAAGAGCCAAAGCATAGAATCGACTTCAGTATGCATAAACAGATGCAAAATATGATCTAGACACACAGTCCAATGTCGTTCTTATAGAAGAAGGGTTTCTGGTGCTGACACAGCTGAACCACTCAGGTCTTCTTGGAAATGATGTAAGCTAATTCATAGACGGACAATCATTGTGTGAGATTATTAGGAGGTTAAAGTAATAAAGAGCATACCTAGAGCGGTGGTGGCTGGGAGCCACAGGGTAGAGTTACTGCTTAGAGGGTGCACAGCTTCAGATTTATAAAAGGAAAGGAGTTCTGCAGACTTGCGGTGCTGATGGCTTCACCTAACGAAAAATATACTTCATACCACCGAATGGAGCATTTATGGAGAGAACTGGAAGGGATTGCATTACGTAAATTCTACCCTCATAAATTCTTTAATTGTATCGTAAGTCATTTGATTTCGTTTAGGTCATGTAAAAGTAGGAAGACCACATTCATATCCTTATTATAAAGAAAAGAAAATGGAAATAATTCAGATCCTGAAAATCTGAATCTTCTTAGGTCCATTAGAAGACTGAACTCACAGGTCAAACTCCACAGAGACAGGTGACACAGGGACTCCTGCCTAATATCCACTGCATACCATGGCACAAGCTGCCAGAGCCATAAACATGAGGACAGGCAGAATGGTAATTTTGATCGATCACCAGAGTTAGAATAAGGCTCATAAATCATTCCCCAGAGTCTATAGTCTTTGTCAGTATCTCACACTTTCAGAGTTTAACTCCAGAGAACCTATGCGACTTTCCACATCAAGAATGAAGAAAAGATACCCTGGGCCTCTGGGGGAGGAGGGAATAATCCCTTAGAAATATGTGGCAGGAATTCTTCAAGCAGAAGCTTGCTTCTCAATGAAGAGATCCCTAAGGGCTTGTCTCCCATGGGAGGAGGGCGTCTCCCCACTCCGGCTCCTGCTTCACCCTGCTTTTCATCCCGGGAGAGAGGGGACTCCGCTCTGGTGAAGGGTCACGGCCAGAACCAGCAGGGAATACGGAGACTTCACGACTCCCCATCTGTTCCTTGCTGCCATGTGAGTGGGACTCAGGTACAGTGGTGTCACCCTCTTGTTTTTCTAAATAAATTATGCAAGTGAAACTCTTCCAGTCTGTGTCTGAAAGATGCACAGCTCTACTCCAATAATTATACTTTTTCTGTTCTGCATCTTAGAAATCTCGTGATGATACCTTACAGGAATTTTCAAAAGTCATCTCTGAAAAGAATGAAGCAAATTCATGCTAATGGAAAGGAAGTTGGAGTTTTACTCTACTAGAATTCTATTGGGATTCTATTAGTACACCCCATGCTGACACATTTGCATAAATCAAAAAAATACATATATATTCTGTGTCCCTGAAGGCTAGTGGTAAAAATCAATAGGTGTTTTTTTAAAAAGTGAAACACATTTGCTGTCTTATGAATCTGAGGTAATCAGTTCATAGAATTACTCTTCACTTCACACAAAATGGGCTCATTTAATGAATTCATTAGCATGAAGCTGGGTGAGCAAGTTCACTGGTATTCAAACAAACAACTGACTAATGGATCCTAAGATTAATCTTTACAGTAAAAATATAAAAGCATGTTGGACAAATGGGTCTCTTCGGTGTGTAACCAGTTACCCACAGAGATTTATGAAAACATGTTTGGAAGACATATCAGGGTCTAGATGAAATAAATTAGCATACAGACAAGAAATAGTTTCTAGCAAGAAGCTGCTGCAGTATGATAGTCCCGGAAATGTGTAGCGTGGTGAGACCAAGGCTGACTTTATCTTTTTGTGGAAAGTCAGTTCTATTTTCAACTATACATCAGATTTAAAAGAAACAAACTTTTGTCCTTTTCTAAAAGAATAGTTGGCCACTCACAAAACTGTTCTCAGATTCCTCTGATAAGGAATACCTCTTTTGTTTCTTTAATTTTTTGTTTCATCACTGGGGATTGAATTCCACGCCTCATACACACCAGGCAAATACTCTGCCCCTGGGCTATGCCTTCCATTCTTTGAAATTTAGAAAAGCTTTAAATTTATTTTATTTTTATTACATTTTTTTGTCTTTGACACATGATAATTGCATGCATCTTGGGAGATCAGAGCACATACATACTTATAACAGCAAGATCTTTTTACTTCCCTTCTTTTATTTTGGAATAAATTTCCTCTAAATTCCTCAGGTTGCTTCAGCCACCCAAGGAGTTGGGAATACAGGCACGTGCCCGTATTCTGCTCTGAGATACTGTGTAATATTTATGCAACTGACAACAATTATCATTAAAATAAGTACTGTGAGCTCTCTAACTATAAAATTTGGGTTGGGGAAAGATTTGCGTCTTGTTTGACCTATAGGCTTGCGTTAATGTATTTTTTGAAGGATCCTTCTATGTTGCAGAGAAATGTGTGCGTGTGTGTGTGTGCATGCATGTGTGTGTGTAAAACACCATTAGATGGTAGCACTGCTGCTGACTTTAGGAAGAATGGTTCTTCATATTTTTTGATTCTTCACATTGACAAACGTGTGTGCCATGGTACCCAGCACACTGCCATGTATGAGGAACCGTTAGTAAGACTCAGAGAAAGAAGTTGGCCTCTCTAAGGTGCTAGAGACTGTGGTAATAAAAGTATCAGTTCCCGAGGAAGCGATCCCTACAACACTGCTTTGGAGCTTGGGATGTGTAGATTCCAATTTCTTTCTTTCTTTTTTTTTTTTTTTTTGTATATTCCAATTTCTTCCACTGCTATGCTAGATTTGTGACCTTAAAAAATCACTGAACTCATGTTTTTATTTTGTTTTATATTTAC